CATGAGGGAGACATGGGGAGATAATGGGGGAAATAGGGGACATGGGGGGACACGGGGACATGGGGGGGACATGAGGGGATAAGGGGGGAAAACGGGGAATAAACAGGAGGAAAAATGGAAGAAAAAGAGGAGAAAGTGGGGGGAAATGGGGAAGAAACGGGGAAAACACCAAGAAAAAGGGTGGTGAGGCAGTTATGGGGGTGCCCCTATCCCCCAGGAATCCCATGCCCTGCCCCATGGGTGCCCCGTGCCCCATGGGTGCCCCACAGCTGCCCCCATACCCCATGGATTCCCCATTCCCAAGGATTCCCCATGCCCCATGGGCACCCCCTGCCCCATGGGTGCCCCTTGCCCCATAGATACCCCATGCCCTGCTCCATGGGTGCCCCCCAGTCCCATGGGTGCCTTTGCCCCATGGATTCTCCATGTGCCCCGTGCCCCATGGATGCCCCTGCCCCATAGCTACCTCCTGCCCCATAGATACCACATGCCCTGCCCTGTGGGTGCCCCCCACTCCCATGGGTGGCCCCCCCCACCCTGGTTGCAGCAGCAAGCGGGGAGGGGGCGAATGGGGCTGGGAGAGGAGCCCAGAGCAGGGGGGGTGCCCGCCCGGCCGCCTCTTGCACATGTGACCCCGGATCGCACACGCGTGTGCACACGCGACCCCGGATCGCACACGCGACCCCGGATCACACATGTGACCCCAGATCGCACACGCGTGTGCACACACGACCCCGGATCACACATGTGACCCCGGATCGCACACGCGTGTGCACACACGACCCCGGAGCACACATGTGACCCCAGATCGCACACGCGTGTGCACACACGACCCCGGATCGCACATGTGACCCCGGATCGCACACGCGTGTGCACACACGACCCCGGATCGCACATGTGACCCCGGATCACACATGTGACCCCAGATCGCACACGCGTGTGCACACACGACCCCGGATCACACATGTGACCCCAGATCGCACACGCGTGTGCACACGCGACCCCGGATCACACACGTGACCTCGGATCACACACGCCTGTTCACAGGTGACCCCGGATTGCACACGTGACGCCGGATTGCACACGCGTGTGCACACACGACCCCAGATTGCACACGTGACCCCGGATTGCACACGCGTGTGCACACATGACCCCGGATCGCACGCGTGACCCCGGATCACACACACCTGTTCACAGGTGACCTCGGATCGCACACGTGACCCTGGATTGCACACGCGTGTGCACACACGACCCCAGATTGCACACGTGACCCCGGATTGCACACGGGACCTCAGCTCACAGGTGTGTGCACACGCAACCTCAGCTCACATGTGCGACCCCGGATCGCACACGCGTGTTCACAGGTGACCCCCCCCAACTCACGTGTGTGTGTGTGTGCACACGGTGCTGACTCACACGCGTGACCGGCTTCCACGCGCGTGTGCACACGTGGCCCTGACTCGCACACACGTGTGCACACAGCCCTGGCACGAGCGACATCTCGGCTCTTTGCACCCCGGGTCGGGGCTTGTCGCACACCCCTGGCACAACAACCTGACCATTACACAACAACCCGCCGCTCATCGCACACCCCTTTGCACAACAACCTGACCCTGTTACACAGCAACCCGCCGCTCGTCGCACACCCCTTTGCACAACAACCTGACCCTGTTACACAGCAACCCGCCGCTCGTCGCACACCCCTTCGCACAACAACCTGACCATTACACAACAACCCGCCGCTCGTCACACACCCCTTTGCACAACAACCTGACCCGGTTACACAGCAACCCGCCGCTCGTCGCACACCCCTTTGCACAACAACCTGACCCTGTTACACAGCAACCCGCCGCTCGTCGCACACCCCTTCGCACAACAACCTGACCATTACACAACAACCCGCCGCTCGTCGCACACCCCTTTGCTCAACAACCTGACCCATTACACAACAACTGGCTGGTCTTTGTACCCCATTACACAACAACCCACGGCTCTTTGCACACGCTGTTACACAACAACCTGCCGCTCTTTGCACAACCAGCCACTCGTTGCACACCCCTTTACACAACAACCCGCCACTCCTTGTACATGCCTCTGCACAACAACCTGACCCCCTTGCACAACAATGCACTTCTCTTCGCACCCCTTTACCCAACAACCTGACGCTATCGCACAACAACCCACTGCTTGTTGCACACACCCTGTTACACAACAGCCTGTTGCTCTTCACACCCCTTTGCACCACAATGTGACCCCCTTTGCTCAACAACCGGCCGCTCTTTGCACACCCCTTTACACAACGCTGTGACCCCATTACACAACAGCGTGACCCCATTAACACCCTGCTGCTCTTGGCACACCCCTTTATGCAACAACCTGACCCTATTACTCAACAACCGGCCGCTCTTTGCGCACCCCTTTACACAACAACCTGACCCCATAATACAACAATACGACGCCCTTCGCACACCCCTTTACTCAACAACCCACTGCTCTTCACACACCTGAACGCAACAACCCAACCCCATAACACAACAACCCGCTGCTCGTCACACAACAACCCAACCCCATAACACAACAACCTGCCGCTGTTTACACAACAACCCAACCCCATAGCACAACAACCTGCCGCTCTTCACACACCCCTTTACACAACAACCCAACCCCATAACACAACAACCCGCTGCTCGTCACACAACAACCCAACCCCATAACACAACAACCTGCCGCTCTTCACACACCCCTTTACACAACAACCTGACCCCATTACACAACAACCCGCCGCTCTTCGCCTCCCCCCGTCAGGCGGCCGGGCGGGCGGTACCGGTGGACGTCCCCCCCGCCCCCCCAAGCGGCAGTGCCACCACCCTGTCACCGACCTTGGATGGTGGCCAGCGGGTGGGTGGCCATGAGGGCCGGGCTGAGCGCCGCGCTCACCCCCAGCACCGCGCTGCTGCAAAGCAAAGCGGCGTCAGGCGGCCCCGCGTCAGGCGGCCCCGCGTCAGGCGGCCCCGCGTCAGGCGGCGAGCGGGCCCTGTCCCCCCCGGCGTCAGGCGACCCCGTGGGCCCTGTCCCCCCGCCGGCGTCAGGCAGCGCATGCGGTGTCTGTGTCCCCGGGTGTCAGGCGGTGCGCGCGGTCCCGGTCCCCGCCCCGGTGTCAGGCGGCGCGTGTGGTCCCCATGTCCCCGGGTGTCAGGCGGTGCGCGC